AAAAAAAAAAAAAAGGAATTATTTTCTCCAAACTGGCCATCTTTCTTTCTTTCTCTCTCTCCCTCCCAAAACACACACACACACACACACACACAACATAACTAAGGAAAAAGAAAGAGAAGTTATTTTGGGGCAGGTATTTCTAGCATCATTTTACTCTGTAGGAACAAGTGGGATCCTGTGAATGTGGACAGTGCCACAGGCAGAGGGACTCCCTTTCTTTATTGGTCTCTTGACTCTGCTGGAGAAGGCTTTGAATTCCAGACTGATTGATTTGCTTCCTCTTCTTAGAAGAGTTATAGACTCTGTTCTGGAAGCAGAGAGATAGGTTCAAGGTTTATCAGACAAAAGCATCTAAGAAAGAGTAGTGCTGAGCAAATGGCCTAGTCCCTGCAGCAGAATCCACCTTTTAGGCTCTGATGCTATACATATATTGAGGTAGTCCTTGGCCCAAGGAGCCCTATTTCTACCTTAAAGAGACTTACCATCTAGTTTGGTATTTTCCTCAGGCCCATAATCACTGAAAAGAAGCATAGTAGGAAGAGGATTATTTTTCCTCCTATCCATAAGCCTATGTTTCCAGTTCAAGGATATATTTAGGTCACCAAGATGCAGACCCAAAAACCATTCATTTTGGAACCCAATAAAGAAGGCAAGCAGAGAGGCCCAAACCTTCCAGCTGGGGCAAGATTAAACTTTGTGCTCCAGTAGAAAAAACCCTCTCCTAGTATCCTGGGTTCTACTTGTCTTACTTCTATTGCTAACCAGATAGGTGACTCTGGGCTTAGTTTCTTTTGTTAGAAGCCAAGAGATTGGAGATTATCTCTCAACTTCATTCCCGCTCCAAGATTTCCCAGGTCCTGAAGCATCCTTGCCATAAGCCCTCCACATGAAGCAGAGAGGCTTGCCAAATTGGATTATCAGAGCAAGATTCTTTGTTAGCAGAGGAGCCTAAAAGTACCTTTCTGGCCCCCCAAAACAGTGAACTCTTTTGATCAGCATGTATAAGGGACTTTTGGGCACTGTCTCTTCTAAATTTTTGCCACCCTACTCCAGTTAGAATAGTTAATTGAGACTTCCATGTAATTTCAAACTCTACTTGAGAAAGCTAACCCTGTTTGGGGCATCTTTGGCTCCAAAACTGATGATTATAAATCTCAACTTGAACTCCTCTGCCCTACTTTCCCCACTCCTGCCCAGACATAAAACTGAACAGCAGTGACCTTGTGGGGCCATTCTGTAAACACAGGGCTATACTTAGGGGTATGCCCAGAAAACCAGAAAGTGTTATCTCATGTGCATCACACCTACTGGTTCAAAATGTTTAGCTTGGCCCTTTTCCTCAGCTCCTTAAGTCCTAAAATGAGACACAGGAGAGGTAGGATTATTTCTTCTCCCATCCATAAACCTTAGCCTTCTGTCTCTTCCACAGTCTGCATGAGGAAGACAGGGAAGCACAAAGAACAAGAGAAAAGATGCATCCATCTGAGATCTAAAAGGAAACAATGAGGTGACATTTTCCCACTGCCCGGTTGTTGTGTTCTCAGCTCTTACCCCTTCTTATTTTAGAGGCTGGCTATTCCTAGGATGACCTGATCCCTTTTGCACTGCTCCCCAAGCACTTAGATAACGAAGCTGAGCTGTCTTCATCTGTATTATGTGTAGACAGAAGGTCACCATCTACAGCCTGGTGAAAAAAATGAGTCAGATCTTTCCACTGTAAAGACAGACACATGAGCTGAGCAGAGGTTGGTGGGTTTTCTTCAGAGAGCAGTAGGTTGACCCTAAAGATCATTTCAGAGCTGCAAATTGCTAAATGTCTAGGTCTTTTCCTGGAAAGGGGCATGCAGTCAGTTTGCAGACAATGTCTGATTCCTTTGCCCTTTACCCTCCCCAATTATACAAACCCCTGATAGACAGCAGAGCCAGCTGTGTGATTCCAACATGTTTTCACTCAGATTTCACTCAGATTTGTGCCAGTTGAAAAAGGCACAAATAGTAGATGCTGCTGCTGTGGGTTTGATCTACTAGTAGTACCTGAACTGCTCACACCCACAGCACATGGGAAGTTCTCTCTTATTAATAACCAGGGGGCTCCACTTCAGGACTCAGGTGCTCTGGGAAATTGGAGAAAAATGTTCTTTTACCTCTTCCTATTGCAGTTTGTGAATAATAATCAAAGAGATGGCATGAATCCTTGCCATTCTCTCCTCCTCCACTCTATTTCCCAACATTCTCCTTAGTACATTTCTATACACTAAGCCACAATGAACATGTTTTAAGTTCCAATTTTTTTTTTTTTTAGATAGAGTCTTACTTTATTGTCCTCAATAGAGTGCTATGGCATCATAGTTCACAGCAACCTCAAACTCTTGGACTCAAATGCTTCTCTTGCCTCAGCCTCTCAAGTAACTGGTACTACAGATGCCAGCTACAATGCCCGACTGTTTTTTTATTTTTATTTTTTGAGACAGTCTTACTTTGTTGGCCTTGGTAGAGTGTTGTGGCATCACAGCTCACAGCAACCTCAAACTCTTGGGCTCAAGCAGTTCTCTTGCCTCAGCCTCCCAAGTAGCTGGGACTACAGGTGCCTGCCACAATGCCCGGCTGTTTTTAGAGATAAGGGTCTTGCTCTTCCTCAGGCTGGTCTCAAATCCATGAACTCAGTCAATCCACCCACCTCAGTATCCCAGAGTGTTAGGATTACAGGCATGAGCAACTGCCTGGACCTTAAATTCCATTTTTGTAGTGTCACTGGATCAAACAGGATTCTTTTGTGTGTGTGTGTGTGTGGTTTTTTGCTGGGGCTGGGTTTGAACCCACCACCTCTGGCATATGGGGCCGGTGCTCTACTCCTCTGAGCCACAGGCGCCGCCCTCAAACAGGATTCTTTGGAGCATTTGAAGAGTTCATTACTTGTGATGTCCATCTTATTTCAGGCTTTCAGAGCCACTACATACAGAAAACTTGAGTTTCTCACTTTTTTTTTTAACCAATAGTTAGTGCTGTGAGAATATTTTGGGGGATATAGAGGTGGAAGCTGATGCCTGACCTGCCCTTGGAAGTCAGTCTCTGGATTGGTTCTCACTGTCGCCTATCATTGATTCTGGTGGGAAATCTTCTGTCTGGAAAGGATGTTCATTCCTATTCAAATGTGATATGTTGATGGGAGAAAGACCGGGCCATGGAGAGCTCTTAGTAAGCTAAATACAGTCAAAAGAATAGGGAGGAGCCTGGTTCAGTTGTGTACACCTGTAGTCCTAGCCACAGCTACAGGCCTGGCAGCGCCTGTAGCTCAGCGGCTAGGGTGCCAGCAATATACGCCAGAGCTGGTGGGTTTGAACCCAGCCCGGGCCTGCCAAACAACAATGACAACTACACCCAAACAATAGTCAGGCATTGTGGTGGGCGCCTGTAGTTCCAGCTACTTGGGAGTCTGAGGCAAGAGAATTGCTTAAGCCTAAGAGTTTGAGTTTGCTGTAAGCTGTGATACCACAGCACTCTACTGAGGGTAACATAGACTCTGTCTCAAAAAAAAAAGAGGCTGAGGCCAGAGGATTGCTTGAGGCTAGGCATTTGAGGCTGTAGTGCACTATGATCAGACCTTGCCTGTGAATCGCCACTGCATGGCAGACTGGGAAGACTCTGTCTCTAAAAAATAAATAAGTTGAGCCAGGTGCAGGGGCTCACACCTGTAATCCTTGCACTCTGGGAGGCCAAGGCAGGTGGATTGCTTGAACTCATGAGTGAGACCAGCCTGAGCAAGAGTGAGACCCCATCTCTAAAAATAGCCAGGCGTTATGGTGAGTGCCTGTAGTCTCAGCTACTTGGGAAGCTGAGGCAAGAGAATCACTTGAGCCCAGGAATTTGAGGTCACATTCTACTGAGGGTGACAAAGGGAGACTGTCTAAAAAATATATGTGTGTGTGTGTGTGTGTGTATATATATATATATATGTATGTATACATAAGCTGAGCACTACAGTGTGCTCCTGTACACCCAGATTCTCCAGAGGCTGAGATCGGAGGATCATTTGAATCCAGGAGTTTCAGGCTACAGTGAGCCAAGACCATGCCAGTGCACTCCAGACTGGGTGACAGAGCAAGACCCTATGGAAGGAACCAGGGAAAGAAAATCTGTCTTGAGACAGGCACGGTGACTCACCCCTGTAATCCTAACACTCTGAGAAGCCAAGGCAGGTGGACTGCTTGAGCTCAGGAGTTTGAGACCAGCCTGAGTCAGAGCAAAACCTCATCTTATCTCTAAAAATAGCCAGGAGTTGTGGCGGGTGCCTGTAGTCATAGCTACTTGGAAGGCTGAGGCAAGAGAATCACTTCAGTCCAAGAGTTTGAGGTTGCTGTGAGCTATGACACCACAACACTGTACTGAAGGTGACAAAGTGAGACTGTTGAAAGAAAGGAAGGCAAAGAGGGAAGGCAGGGATGGAAGGAAGGAAGGAAGGAAAGCTGTCTCTTACAATGGCCCAACTTAAGTGAGTTTCTGTAGTATAGTAGTTGTCCGTTTATCTGACAGTGACCAGCCTTTCCTCCCTTCTAGAGAGGCAATTCCTTTTGTATTGGAGGATTCGCTGTTTCCAGTTCTTTGCATTCAGATCACTAAACTGCATACAGTACCCGTGCCCAGCTCCATCACTGAGTGACGTTATGTGTGTTACCTTAGAGCCAGTTTCTTTCCAAGATCTTTGAGCCAAACCTGTCTGTGTGACTACCTTCTCTCTCCTTATACCTCTTCTCCCTGTGCTGTGTCTCCAACTCGCACACCTAATTTGACCCAATTCCTCAAAGAGAACACTAATATCTGCCTGCCTGGTTAGGCAGGGAAAGAAGTTTGTGCTGCAGGGAGACTGGAGCAAACAGTAAAGGACATCTGCTGATTTGTTCCTGGCTCTCAGAAAACCAGACCCGGAACAGCAAAGTTGCAATTCTCTTCACTTCCAGGATTACCAAGTTGGCATTTAGACCAGTTGGAGACAGCTAAGTACTAATTTTGCCCAAGATGTGTCATGGAGCACCTGTTAAGTGCAATTAAGAAACAAGAGTGCTGGCTCGGCGCCTGTGGCTCAAGTGGCTAAGG